ACACACACACACACACAGTGTGTTCAGTCAGTAAGTGAGATTGATGGCAGAGAGTGAATGAGGTTTCTTGTAATTCCATTCACTTTATTTAGATTTCTTCCTCCATTCAGGTACATAAAGTGAGGCCCTGTCAGCCCCTTCTACAGATTTAAACACTGTTTATGTGCCACAAACAAAAGGTGGTCATACAGGTCTACTTTTATCCTAATGGTGGCGCTACAGCAAAGGCCAGGAAGTCCCAAAATCAAAAGGATCCTCCATGTCGGGTTCAGATATGGAGCTTATTAAGACTTACACACACAGTACACATACTGAGCCAAACAACGGCTGAGAAGTTCGACCAGCTGTGAGCCAGTGTATTTTCACATCCTAACGGTGGGTGAATCTTCTAGGGTATTCCACTTCCACTAATTCGACCACAAAGAATACAGTTCCAACTCGGTGATGTCCAAACAATAGACTCTTATTCTGAGGACGTGCAGCAAGGAACAGGTAGAGGCAAGCTAGAGCAGGACCGGGTAACGACAGCGAGAGGAACAGAGCGGACGCAGCAAGGACAGGAGAGGAACACGAGCAGGAGGTGGAGTAACCCGACCAGGAAGGAACAGAGAGACAGGAGAGGGATGGACTGGGACAGGACAGGGACGGGAGAGGGGCAAAACGGTAAAGGGGCAGGGGGAGGTCGGGGGCATCATAGAGTCAGCGGCGAGTTGGTGATTGTTGCAACAGTGTAAAGACTAATGAGAACAGTTCGGTGACTTTTATTTAGTTTTATCGAGTTTGAATAATGTGTTTAACAAGGTCTTAGTTCGGTTAGAGAGAGAAACTTCAGAGGAAGGCTGTGGCTCAGAGGCAGAGCAGGTCAACCACTAATCGGAAGGTTGTTGGTTCGATCCCCCGACTCCTCCCACCACACGTCAAAGTATGGTGAGTTTACTTTGTTCAATAAAGCTATTCGAACTTGTTGCATGTAGCGAACTCGCTGCTCACCTCCCAGCTAAACCTACTGGGGCTGTGTCTGGGGGGGTTTCACATTTTTTTGTGATTAAAATTACTTTTTGTGAAAATTTACCATTGACTCCCCATGCCTGCCAGCTCGGACCCTGACAATGTTGCGTTTACTGCTGTAGATGTTTATGGTTAAGCTCACGTTTTTTAAACTGTGAGGGAGTTTAAAAGTGACCTTTATTCCAGGACTGAAAATACACTAACCGGTTTTGTAGTGGCACCCAAATATGGGCATATGAACACACTATCAGACACATACAATTAGGGAGTTTTAAGTTTAAACACCAGCATCATTCTTTATTTACAAGGAAGTCTCCAAAATGTAAAAATCCCAAGTAAAGTAGGTGATGGACTGAATGTGTGATCGTCTGGTTTGCTGATCCTGTGAGCAGAGGAGACTTTATAAATGAGGAGGAATCTGACTGACGGTATTGAGACCAGGCCGTTGTCTGCTACTGTTGTTCTCATCGGGGCCGAGTATCGACGGCGGTGTCCCCTTCCCCCTTTGTTCGATACCTGTCCTCCGCTTCCTGTCTGCACGACACCCGACGCCGCCGCTGTAAGTGTGTGTGTGGCTTATGCTGCAGTATTTGCAGGCAGAGCGGGTGAGCGGGGATAAGGTTACATGTTGTTCTTTTCATGGCAGCATTTTCCTGAGTGATGGAATCCCTGAGAGGATTTAATGTTGGTGGCAGACACGAGCCTCGCTGACCATAAACACTGCATCTCACTGCACAACTGTCTCACCGCACAGTTGTCTCACCGCACAGCTGTATGCGGGACTCTGGTGAGAGAAAGGCAGGGGGACAGGCGGCACTGAAATATGTGCATGTTTACAGTCGACTTCATTAGCCATGTTCTATCAACACATTTTGAAGTATCTCATTAGAAAAGTTTGATGGAAATCACAAAATCTGAAAAAACGTTGCCAAAAAAGTTCTGACAACAGTCTCCTCATCGCTCTTATGGCTCTATAATACATCCATGATCACTGCACACAGACCTGATGGGACCTTCCTCACATTAATACATAAAACTAACAGAAAATTGTTTTTCACTGTTTGAGGTTTGACTGCAGCTCTTTTAATTACCTCATCTTTTTGTTCCCTCTTCTTCTGGTTTTCTGACTGGAGAATGGGCACCAACTACTGCTTATCTCAACAAAACAACTCTTAATAACAAGTATTCATTCATTTTCTTTTGTGATACATTTAGATGGAAACACAGCTTCTGATAAAAGGCCCAAAAACTTTAAACTGACTTCTGTATACACAATCTATCTGAAGAGGCCAACAAAATTCATCAATTTAATGAACTTGCACTCTCCCACAGACCTTACTTCCTCTTTAACCTTAAAAGCTAGACACTTGGCTCCCATGGTCTTCCATACCTGCAAGCACTGCTGCCTATATGGAAGTTTGAATTTGTTCTTGTGTTTGTGTTTGTGTGTGTGTGTGTGTGTGTGTGTGTCTTTTAGCGTCCTAAATATAAGCTCGTCACATCGTCCAGAGCGAAGCCAGTGGACAGCTCAGCTGAGGCAGAGAAATGGTTTTAAGTGCTGCTGCTCTGCTCACACAGCACACTACGGAACACAAACACACTTTCACAGTTGAGACCAACACTGATATTTATGGAAGCTACTGACAACCAATATTTCATGCACATATTCAAAAAGCCCAAAACTCTCAGTGCTTAATACTTCCAGAGCAGAACAGGATTTTCTGCAACAGTATTTGGACACATCACAGGACACTAAAATCCCCCGCCAGAATAAAAACCACAGCAGAGTACTCGTCGACATGAAGCAATGAACTGCAGGTGACAGGAAACTGGGAGCAGTGAACGAGTGTGTGAACACTTCTGACTGTAGGCGGCGACAATCAAAGCCCAATGCAGGGCTTTATCTGGTCACAAATTTGCCATTGTATTGGGTGCATTTACAATGATGAACAATGCAGAAACATCAGCAAGAGATGCTTAAGTGGTCTGATCAATGGAGGAAATGTGAGATTTTTATACTTGATTAGTGTTTCAGTCTAACAGTGAAAATGCGAATATTGTTTATTACGACTAATCATCATCAGTAATTACAACACTGTACTCGTCAAGTTCATACAAGATTTATAGTTACTGATATATATAGATTATAAACTGAAAATAAACACTGTCTTCTCCCGCTGGTGGACACAGCTCTGCTCTGCTGTATTTAACAAGGTTTCTGCAGGTTTCAACAAGACTTTTAAATACCAATTATGAAAGCAATTAAAAACCTACTTCATCTCCATACTGGCCTAAAAAAAAGTACAAAGCATATGAAGGGGGATCGGTATTTGATTCCATGTTGGCTTCATTTTGTAGTTGTTGGATCATGATTGATACAAATGTTTCGCAAAAACACCATTAAAAGTGAGACTGAAAAATGCAGCTTTACACAAGTAACGTCAACGTCATTCAATCAATTTTTAAGACCTGTCAAAATCATATTTAAGACATTTCAAAGCCTATAATTCAGATTCTTTGATTTGACACTTCTTAAGACCCTGCGGACACTCTGTTTATGGAGAGGGAAAAGAATGTGCTCATCAATATGACAGATGTGTTCTCTGTGTTGTAGCACCAGAGGGTAAAAACCGACGCTGTGAAGGACTCTGTTTCTTCAACATGCCCTTTAAAGTGCCATATTTTGACTGAGGTGCCCCCCCTCAAACACACGCACACACATACAGTATATACAGATAGTAATTAAGATACACACACACACCTACATCAGCAGCAGTAGTAGCCCCCCTGGTGAGAAGACACTGCTAACACACTTCCTAAAGACTTCACAGTGTGTGCGCATAAAGCTGCAGCACACACACACGCTTCCATGTGCATGTGTTTAAGTGTGTGCCACTGTCAATCTGTGTTTACTGTGTGTAGACAGGTATCTCCATGTGTTAATGTCTGTGTCCAAGTCTCAAAGAGTGGGGGGTTTTTGTATGTGTGTTTCTGTCAGCCTGTGTACATCTGTGTGTGTGTGTGTGAGTCTGGATGTGTGTGCTCACCCATGCTGTTGGTGGAGCTGCACCACATCAGCAGACAGCCGGTACACAGCAGGTTGAGAGCCCCGAACAGCAGGATCCTCCACGACTGGAAACGACAACAAACAAACAAAATAACTGTTAAAGAACAATGACAAAAGGAGCAGAGTGGCTCAACCTTTGGCTCGAAGCCCCACAGTGGTCATTCATTATGCACGTGGACTGATGGGGAGCTTATATTTTTACGATATGACCCTTTAGAAAACAGAAAACAAAATCGTGCCATACTTAATTCCTGATGCGAATTCTGAGACCAGTCAATATTACCAGACGATTTTAGATTATCACAGAAATATCAGTGTCAATGTAAAAACTGTCAGAGAACTTTTGAAATACTTTGTCTACCAGAGAGCACTGACACTTTGCACTAAAAAGGTCCCCTAAGTAAAGAACAATTCTTATCAAACAATCTATTGGCTGATATATTGTTATTAGGCATTTTAAAACTAACCTAAATGATATTAAATCAGTTAAAAACTTCCTTAGGCCTTTTTTAATGGAAACTGGAAATGAACTAAAGACTAATTTAAAAGCCAAAATTAAAATAAAGACAACCAATTTCCAGTTAAAACCAAATGTTGATTATCAGTAGAGAAGGACAGGAAATCCATAGTTAGGGACTGTTTGTTATTTATCTGTTTGTGTTTTATCTTGATCCCCCCAAAGCTAAAAATATTTCTCACTGAGCGAAAAATCATGACCCCCTCTCCACCATTAAAACACCATATTTGATTATATTCACAGCAAAAGTAGGTAGTATTAGAGAAAATAACAAGCAACCATTTTGCCATTACTCTAATCTGTGACTCTTAAACCTGGGTCCTCTGACGTCCATTGTCCAGAATAAAAGCAAACTACCAGCCTGACTTAGTGCGTCCTCTCCTATAGTACTGTAGGAGTTGCCTATGACAACGTCAGCTCTGAATAAAATGCTAACTTTGATGGTCCAACAAATGTAACAACCACACAGCACGGAGGGAGTGAGAGTTCTCGTGGGCTGAGCAGGGTTTCCCCGACTGTCAGTCAGCGTCCCGTAGCAGACACTCTGGCAGGTGACCAGCCGCTGTCTAATCTAAATCCAAACCTACAAACCGACTGGGGGCTGCTGTGTTTTGCTGCTGGATGGAGGGTGAGTTTCCTACCCCGTGGTCAACCTCTGAGTTTTGGGTGAATTCTCTGACTGAACGAGGCCTGGCCGTGTGGCCTAACGTGTTCGCTACAGTCTGAATCAGTTCATCACAGAAATACCAGCTCAGGGGAAGGTCACTTTCAGAGGACGTGAGAGCAGAGAACAGGCTTAGTGCTGAGAAAGAGCAGCTCTGCTCATCAGTAATATCTGCAGATTTTCACATTATATATTTTAGAAATAAATTTGCAAGGAATGTAGCTCTAACTGCAACTTTAATATACTGAACAAGAAGTAAGGGACTTGATAGTGTGGATATGCATGCTGGGTCTGACTAAAATGGATAATCTAGCCATGAGTTCTTTAGTTGTGCATGAACTTTCTGCTACTACTTCATAATCCCTGTCACAGTAACGAATGTTGAGTGCTCAGTCTTCAACCTCACTATAGTCCACTATACGGTACAGTGTGTAAAAAATGTGCACTGTCTCTTTTGGCTTCAATGTGCAGCGCAGCATTCATACTGCTGTATAGGAAGTACCAAACTATTTGATTTACATGTTGCATGTTGCACGTGCCAGGGTGGCCATAGCCTTTTCATCTTTCATTTTTGTTTAACTGCATGAGTTTTGTGCTATTTTCTGATGAAATCTACCACGCTACCTGAGGAAGGTGACTGTACATTTATACGTTTTGGATGCATAGCCTGCAAAATGCCCACTTAGTGGAAAAGTTATTTAGTTTAGATATTTCTCAATGTTATGCTTTTTAAACAGTAAAGGTTTGAGTTTAGTCAACCAAAACTAACTGGTGGAGGTTAGGAGATTGAGGCCTGACTGTTGTTAGGAGACAGGATGTGAACAACGGTCTCTGGTGTTTAAGTCCAGAACAAAGACCTTCCTATGAGGCTTTGTTGGACATTAAGGTCACCTTATTACTTCCTCCTTTGTTTCTGAGAGACGACCGTCCTTACTCACACAACAACCACAAGTCACCTCTCTGTTTGGACAAATGCTGTTGTCTTTTATGGGTAAGACAATCTTGCTGTATAACAAAGACCAGTTTTTTATTGCCCCATACAATCTGTATCTGAGCCCATTCAACAGTGTTCTTACTCCATCTGGCTGGATGTAGATTCAGCAGAATTTTCAATGAAGAAAAAATAAAAATAAAACCTTGAGTCTAAACTTGGCCTCTGAGCAGAAAGAGAGAGAGAGTATGTGTGTGTCAGAAAGAGAAGAGAAGACTAAGAAATGGAACAAGGGCAACGTGTGTGTGTGTGTGTGTGTGTGTGTGTGTGTGTGTGTGTGTGTGATGTGTGTGTGTGTGTGTGTGTGTGTGTCCTGGCCTGTCACTTCGTGTTGGAGTCATATGCCGTGGTGGGGAGCGCCGAGTGCTGTGAAATCTACAATTACTGTGGTGTGCTGTGTTATGACAGCACTGGGGCGTCTGGTGACAGCACTAGCCAGCGACAGGCATGGGAGACCCACAGTGTGTGTGTGTGTGTGTGTGTGCGTGCGTGCGCGTGTGCATGGATGCGTGCATGTGTCTGTGTGTGCAAACAGAGAGACAGCATTTGGTCCAAAACATTCCCAACCCCCCTTCACGTACACACACACACTCAGCGCCTGGAGGAGAGTGCACAGTTGTTAAACCCTGACGCACTGCTGCCCCCGTCCGTCCGTCAGCGGAGACGCCTGGCTGTCCGCCGGGATAACGGCGTGCCAACATATTGAGGTTACATGTGACATTGGAGTGACAGAGCTGCATCGCCCGTACAGCTGCTCAGTCACCAGGTACTGTATTAAATAAGGAGCCCCCACTGACGCCAGGCCTGATTACATCATTGTTGAGCACCATGCCATGCTGCCGCATCATCGGCCAGTGCCGAGCAAATGTGTGTCACCATGGTGAGTAGAGGGGTGACTCATATTATCCTCTGAAGAAGAGAGGAAGAGCAAGAAGGAGAAGTCAGTTTCATCATAACGGACAAGGAGTATGTATGAGGGGATTTTTTTTTGACCAAACTAAAACCTGCAGCATGCCGCCAACACAACCTGCCAGGGCTCACTTCCAGTGGCAATGAGAACACAAAACACGTCCTCTCCCGCTCTTTGTCTACTCAGATCGGAGCCGTCAGGGCTCTGTTTCTCCAGGGTGGCCGTGTTCTCCTCTCAAAATAAACCTACTTACATAATGAATCAGCGGCGGCGGCGGCGGCGGCAGCCTGTTAACACGGACAGAGGAGTTTTACCGACTCGGTTGCTACAGCAGAAACGAGATGACGCCTGGTCCTCTCACTCCCCTGTCCTCCAGTCATGTCTTTCCTCTGCTGACTGCCTGCTGTCCCTGCTCCAGTTTCATCGGGACATTTTGTTACTGCAACAGTGGCTGATGAGCTCAAACAGCAATGTCCAGCACTATAAACATGAACTGTACAACGGACATGGTGAATAGAGTCCATTACTATTCTTGGTGCTACAGTTAACAGGGAACACAACTGATTTTACACATACACGTTGAGTTTACTAGTCGTGAGAAATCCAAAGAGAGGTCTACAGGGTCTAATGAGAACACAGTAGTGAGTTGCATTATGGGAGGTGTAGGATCTAGTGTTTCTGAAGCTTGAACTTTCCTGGTGAGTAAAACACTCAGGATATCTCTGCTTCAATATTCAACATGACTTTTTAAATCTGTTTTTTCCACAAGTCTCCCAACTTTCTGGAGGAAGAACACTATCACTAAGTGTCCAGTAGGCGACAGCATTCAATATATGATGAGTGCCTTGAAATAGACTGCATAGATGATCTCTGCACAGTTTTATCTTTTCTGATTAAGGGTAAGGAATGGTGGAGGAAGTCTGCTGACACTACAAATACATTTGTTTGATCTGTATTTATTCTTATTCTAACAATATGCACTTCACAGTTTTACAGATGAGGTCAAAAGCACAGGAGCACATTATGACCCTGTTCATGTGTAAATTCTTTAAAAGAAGATTTAGAGCCTAACTGTCTTTCCTGGTCCACCCTGGGGATGAGGAGGACTGATTTATAAGGAGTCCCTTTAAATGCTACATACTTAATACACAAATTCAGTGTTTTTCCCATTGATCTATTAGCTCTTTGGTTGTCTTAACTGCATACTTTATATACTATAATGCAGGACAAGGCTGTTTGTGATTGAAGGCTCTAAAAATAATTTAGTTTAGTTTTCTTCACAAAAATGAACGAAATGCTGAGTTAATATCAAGAAAGCCTCACAACCCCCTGTGAAGCAACCAGGGCCTCTTCTACAGAGTCCGCCATATTTCTACAGTAGCTCAGGATGGACAAATCAAACACAGCTGTAGATATTTCACAAGCTGGAAGGTGAGTAGTATTCCGTTGGTTACAATCTGCAATCTCACAGCAAGATAACACTAAATCCTACACACTGGTCCTTTAAACATGGTCAAATAATTAAATGTTTTTGCTTTTAGTAAAAGTTTTCAGGGTTCAGTATGCTTTAGGTTGAACTAGACCGTACAATGTCCATTGTCGGACCACAAAGCATGCTGTCAGAGAGGGACATGTCTATCCTCAAAGGTATTCATGGTGTTACCCTCAGTTGTTCACGTGAAAAGTAACAGAAGTAGTTGTGGGAAGAGAGGTAAGTTAAAATCCTGCATCCTCTCACACCTGACCATTCATAAAGTGAGTGGGCTTGTCAGATCATCAGCTTTGGAAAGGACAAAAACTGTAACTTGCTAGAATTCTGCCGTTGGAAAGGTGTGTGGGGAGGGTATTTCCAGAGCTCGTCAATTCAACAAGCATTTAGGTCTAGAGTCAGTTTCTGACATATAGATTTAAAGATAACAGATTTCAGCACAAAATATCATCCATCAGCGGCTCTGGTGTGAAATATGCTGCTGTATCAGCCTGTAAAAACTCCTGTATCAGTCAAACTGTACCTGAAATCGGATGTTGACAAGACTTTGGTTGATTTCACAACACAAAAGGTAACGGGAGACCTGAGACGAGGGCGATGAGGTGCTGAGGAAGCACATCTCAACTTTCGCCGGTTTGAACTATGTTTGGCCCCTAAGCCGTGTACGACACCGTGTAATCCAATCCAAGGCTCTATGGGGAAGCAAGACCCCCTGCCAGTGTGTGGTCAAAGTGGATTATAGCACAATAACACTGACACACACACACACACAAAACAATCATGTCTGAGGTTCTTTCACATTCATTATCATGTCTCCAGTGTTTTCTCTGCAATCCATTTTTTGCTTAAACTCTACATCTGTCCCTGTTTTGTTGTGATGCACGGTGCACTATTACTTTTTTCCATGAGCTCTGTCTGTGTAAAACAACAACATTTCAAGCATTTAAAGCAAACATATATGTGGTGATATGTGGAATATGTAATTTATGTTTATCAGGCAGATCTCAGCATGCAGTAGGAGAAGTACCTTTGCTGCCAATGAAATCATCATAAAGTAAAGTGTGGGAGACATCGAAGCAGTCATCATGCCCAAAATGACCAACAGGGGCAGGCTTTGGGTGATTTTGAGGATAACTTGGGTGAGTTTTGGTGCATAGAGCAGGAGACAGACAAACAAGGCACAAGTGGCTCTAAAGTATTGCATATCATATTCAAAACGGTTACTGCAAGTGGTTTCATCATTTTTAACAAACTTACTAAGCTTCTGGGAACTACTAGTATACTGCACTGGCTCCCAACCTGGGGGTCCCAACCCCCAGTAGGGGTTGCCAGAGCTTTATGGGGGTCACAGGGTCTTCTTTATTTTAAGGGGTGTAAGACTGATTTTTAATATGCAGTGTGCCTGTCAGCATTTCATACATTTTTGTCATAATTTTGTCAATAGAATTAAATAGTTATTTTTTAAGTTTAGATTACACCTATCAATCATTTTACACAAACTTCCTGCTGTTACAAAACGTAGCTCTACACTGAACAAAATTATAAACGCAACACTTTTGTTTTTGCCCCCATTCATCATGAGCTGAACTCAAAGATCTAAGACTTTCTCTATGTACACAAAAGACCTATTTCTCTCTCTAATATTGTTCACAAATCTGTCAAAATCTGTGTAGTGAGCACTTCTTCCTTTGCCGAGATAATCTCATCCACCTCACAGCTGTGGCATATCAAGAGTCTGATCAGCAGCATAGGTATTGCACAGGTGTGCCTTAGGCTGGCCACAATCAAAAGGCCACTCAAAAAATGTGCAGTTTCACTGTATTGGGGGGTCTGGGGGGGGCACCATTTGCCTCACGCAGTGCAACACATCTCCTTCGCATAGAGTTGATGCAATTTACTATATCTGACATGAACCCAAGAAGGACCATAGCTGATGTTTGATACTCTAAAAGCATAGATTTGGTAGAGAACTGTATTAAAGGGTCTTTAGTCTTTCAGTCTTCCTAGTGGGTGTAGGCTCTCAAGTTCCGGAGATAAAAAAGCAAAAGCAGTGAAAAATGGCCAAAGTTATGCATTAAATCACCCCATGACTTAAAGAGCCACAGCAGCACATATAGAGCCTACAGGGTGGAAGCTGTCCATGAGGACAGGTCAGCCTACCAGGACAAAGTGGACCAGCGTTCAGCTATAGGCCACGATATGATGAAAATCTGAGATGTGCAATAAACACTGTTCAATAGTGCGATGACGATAAGACTTTGCTTACCTTAAAAAGTGTGCATATTAGCATGTCAGCCCGTGTCTTTAAATTCAGAACAGAATTAGAACTGAATATTATAAATATATAACTACATGTTGTTTTGTGTATTGATCAAGTACTGGCTTTTTACAATAGAAGGTGTGATTGCACTCACTTTCAGTAACGAGAGTAGCTGTCGTTCACTCGAGTAATCTTTCAGTTATCCTCACTGTCTCCACTGCGGCGTTTCTGATCGCTGTCCGCTGACTTCGCTCTGCATGTGTGTATGTGGAGGAGCTTAACCCCGACAGAGAGAGCAGGGAGAGGCTGCAGCGTGATAACAAATACTAGTCTTTAACCCTGGGGCCCGGCTAATACGCAATCTCAGTACTCATGCCTACATAAAATGATCTTTCTTATTCATCACGTACCAGTCAATGATGATGAAAATGTGACTTATCGGTCAGAACTAATTCAGCTCGTGGCTAATGGTATTTTACTATAAGAGCTTCATCCCTGCTGCTTTCACTAGAACATGGTGACCTGCTAGGAAAACAGGATTACTGGAAGTGTTGAGTAGTAGTGTAAAATGGTTACATTGTGTGTAACCATTTTACAGCAGAATGGGATTATAAAGTGAGGATTCTGCAGACGCTAACTACTGAGTGCAAACCAAGACGAGCTCTGGATGATGAGTACCAGGCAGATTTAGTTGTTTGATGATCAAAAAAAGTCAATAAGTCAAAAAAAATACCAGAGCTGACACAAATATTACATCTCACACACACACACTTACCCGTCTATCTGAGGAGACCAGTCTGAATTCTTGCACGAGTTTTCCAAAAATGGATCTGTGTGTCTTCCTGAATGGATGAATGGTGCCCTGCAAATTAAACATATGATAATTAATATTAAATTAATAGACAACAAGACTTCAGTTAATGAAGAAAAGAGTATGCAGTGAAATAAAATGACATTTAGATTCATTTCAGTACAATCAAGCACACAATGTCTCTGACAGCGAAGGAGAGTCGGAGGCAAAGTGTGACCTACACTGCCACTAAGTGGTGCGTCAGTGTATAACAGCTGAACTGGATCCTGCAGAGCATCTTTATTCAAAACTCTGACTCAAGAGGAATTTTAGGTTGAGAAAGAGATAACAGCATATCTGCAGGGGAGGTTATTTTCTTGGCAGATTTAAAAACAGACTTTTTACATAAAACAAGCTGATTTTTCTAAGCTGTTAATAATGGCCCTTGCTGTTTAGGTATAGGCTATGTAATCCATCTCTTTAAACCACATAAGACCAAACATTCCATTAAACAGAAGTAAAAAGGCAGAGTCTGTTGTTGGGCTCTAAGCTTGATCACCTGGAGGAGGTGGTGGAGGACAATCCCTCCCACCCCCTCCACACAACTATGGACAAGCTAAAGAGCAGCTTCAGAATCATTCAACTCGCTGCTCTAAGGAACGATACAGAAAATTGTTCCTCCCCACTGCAATAAGACTTTCTAATAATAACTGACTCTGAATCAGCTGCTATAACACTATATTTCCCTTCGGGGATAAATAAAGTATTTCTATCTATCTATGTAAAAAACTGAACCTGAAAAGTCCCAAAAGATTTTGTTTATAATTCTACAATAAGTAACTTGTTGTGCCAAACTAAAACTTTAATAAAAACAACTACTTTTGGCTTCTTTACACAAAGATCCTACTAGTCCAAAAAGCCATAATTTCCACAAAAAAAGTCCAGTCTTCAGTCTTTTTAGAAGTTTTAAACATACTGGTCTAGACAATCTTTAGACACAGAGATCAAGAAATGAAGATTAAGCCTGCTCTGAGTTTGCTCTTTCCTGACAAATACATTTCAAATAAATAGAAAGTGAGACAGATGCGACAGTTTACCATATGCAGATCAAACTGTGAAGACGAGGACACAATACATAAATGCAGAGAGTTGCCGGTGTTGTGTTTTAAATAATAATATAATAATAACAATATAATTGCATAATTGTGTTTTCTTTTATGCAGTCTCAGTAGCATCTTAATGAAGTTTCAGTGCAACAGTATTAACATGCTTGTTCACTCATCTCTTAGACTCAACATGAACATTTAAACTTTAGCCTGCAATGCAACAAGGTGGATGAAGAAACATCATCAGTTTTGTGCTTCACGAGAATGACGCTGAAGCTTCCAGCCCGATGAGCAGAATGACATTCACACACAAACCACAAATTCTACCAGCTCTGAGTGTGTTTGGATGGAATTAGAGTGCGTGCACGTTCCCCGCTGGAGATAAGTCACTCACCAAGACGTACGTATCATGCTCATGCTTCTTCCTGTGCATGTGGACATCTGTGGAGGAATACAAATGCCACGTCAACATGTGATAACAACAACACACACATATATGACACGACACTAACTGCAGGAAGACAGACTTACATACAGTGACTCAAGGTGTTCAGATTAGGGCTGGATATTGTTTACATACAGATACAGATGCCTTGACTTCGATACCGGTTCCTGAGCAATTTGATGACTCTTTTCTATCTCACAGATTTCCATCTTGACATATTTAGATCGCAATTCTACTGTCTCGCAATATTATTTAATTTAACTTCCGTCGTCAGTGCTGACTGACAAACCAATGAACATGTGTATTTCATGGAAATATGAGATCTTTAGAACATTTTTTTGCATCAATGTTATGAAGTTTGTTTATGTGTCAGGTATTTAATTCCAGACTAACTTATCCATAAATTGCTTCCCTGTTGATTTTCCAAAACATTCATATAAACTCTAGCTATAACAGGTTCAACAGAAAAGATTCCACACAGGTCACACACTCCTACCACAGTATAAGTGTCCACCTCAGATTAACTGAAAACCGACATAACATTAAACTTCAGCTAAAAAGTGCCGTCCTGTCCCCAATGACCCTTATAAACACGTTACAAGTAATACCTGTCGTTTAAGTGTTTTTATTCATTTAACGTTAGAATGAAACTGGCTGTTCACTGACAGCTAACGTTAGCTTCATTAGCGTTACACAAACAGTAACGTCAACAAACAAGATAACGTTACAATAAGATAAGATATTCCTTAATAGTCCCACAATGGGGACATTCCCAAATACAGAAAGAGATACACAGCTCTAAACAGAGAAACACAGCTCTAAACAGAGAAACACAGCTCTAAACAGAGAAACACACTCAGAAACAGCTGTTAGCTAAGTGAGCAGAGCCGCCTGTTTGACTACGTGTTGTTAGCTGCTAGCCTGTTAGCATAACAAACCTGAATCATTGATGTTAATGACGTCAACCGACACCATGTCGGGTTTATCCAGCGGGCCCACTTTCCTCTCGGTCACCCCGGACGGCACCACGTCCGGCTTCGGGCCGAACTTTCTGGGGTAAAACTCCCCGACATTGTGGTAAGACAGACCCGAAGACGTGGACATCATTCCGTCCATCGCCATTTTCAACTTCCTGTACCCATGAGCCTGTTCGATTTGTCTACAGGACGCATGCGTCAGACCACAGATCTGTATATCACCTGTAGTGAAAGCAGTGAGCAGAGAACCTGTTCAGTTGCTATAGAGATCGTGGGGGGTTCTCTGATTCAGAGCCAAAGAACCGTCTGTGGAAGACCATTTCCGCATCGGAAAAACAGATTGAATTTTAGAAATAGCAAATATAAAAACTACAGGACAACTACTATTAGTAAATTTAAATATTAAATTAAAAAGTTTGACATTTTATATAAAAAATTACGAAAGAGTAAGACAACACTTTGTGTAATGTAGTGTCTGGCTTGACATCAAGTCATTTGAGCAGCAGATGAAAATCCAACATAATATTAAAAAAAGGATGAACAGATAAACACAAATTAAATTAAAAGGTTAGCAAAGACTTGAAAATGCTGTAACTTTGTACAGCTGTTGCAAATATTTTGTTTCTATACATGTAGCCTAATATATGGAGGCCCTAGACGATCATAGACTTTTTTTTTGTTACCTCGGGATAACAAAGCAAGTTTCTTTGGGGGGAAAATGGAAGTAGGGTCCAAAGTTCTACAGCTACGAAAGGAAACCAGGTTAAGGAGTGACATTTTCTGTCTGTCCATCTATCAATCTCCTCTACTCCATTTCATGGACAGCACCTCATCCACACACACGTTAGCGTTTTTATTTTTCCATTTTATAGCACAAACGGCTGTGGGGCTTATTCTGGTTTCTTAGCCTGCTTGCTAAGAGAGAGAGAAAGAGAGACAGAGATGCAAACCATGAACAGTTGTTTCTAAGTGCCTGTCTTTGCAGATTTTGAGTGATAATTGTGAATGCTCTGATTGTATGTCAGTAACTGAATAATGCTGTGTTTGTGATGACAGTTTTGTTAAGTTCAGCGGGCACCTAGTCGTCCAATGCGCTCAAGGCGCTGTGGATAGATCACATTTCAAATCAGTCTCCACCATTTAGGGAGAATACTATCACATCAGCAACTTTACAGGCAACAACACTGCAGTGACAAAAGAAGTTTTCTCTTGATAAATTAACTTCTGATCCTGAGGTAACAAAATAATTAACTCTAGATAACGGCAAGTTTTTTAAAATCCATTTCTAATAAACCATTGCTGCAGGAACAGAAGCCATGTTGTCCTGAAACAAATCCTATTTTCTATTCCTATTCCGAGTTTATACCTCAATTAAAAGAAGTTGCTAATGGAGATTGAATTGTGTCAGGGACAAAGGCAGATAGTGGTCAACATTCCTAAATAACATACTGTATGTACACCAGATGGGATGGTATCAAAAACTACAGGAAATTCTTTTGTGGTTATTGGTCTATTGTACCTGCTAGAAAGTGCAGTAGCCCTTATTTATTAAACAGCTGACTCACTACACTACCATTGTACTACCATTAAACCACGTATAATACAATATCCACAGAGTTGAATGTCTTTGCAGAAACCTGACATCATGTGGAAAACTGCTTGCTTTTCAGCTTGATTCCGCACCTGCATGGCCTGCTTCCAGCACAGCCGCCAAACTGTTCCAGGTGAAAATCAGATGCAATGCAAACTTGAATAGCACCTTTCATGTAGCTTAGTGCAGTTTGAAGTTCTTTACAGGTGGCTGACAAAATTATCACACCAATACGAAATATATGTGTTAAACAGTGTGTAACCAATGCTCTCACACAAAAGATAAAATAAAAACACAGATTTTAAAGCTGTGGTGTGTACATTTTATAACAATAACTTCTTGTAATATTTGCTGAAACCTTCGCTATATTCTGACAGTAGTACGTGAGACAAATAGTGTGTGAGAAAATCAGGTTCCTGTGGCTCCTCCTAGTGTGTTTAATAGTATTTGCAAGAATCTACCGGGCCTGAATGAAAACAACCAATCAGAGCCAAGAAACGTAATTGAGTCTCGTGAAGATAGTTGATTATTGGGTCTACCAAAGCATCAATATTTGACAACCTGGAAATGAGACTCAACAATCAACTATCCTTCTTGGCTCTGATTGTTTTTTTTAGTCAGGCATAGTAGATTCTTGCAAATCTCATTAGGAGCACTAGGGAGCCAGAAACCTGATTTTTCACAGATTATCCGTCTCATGTACTACTGTCAGGATATAGTGAAGGTTTCAGCAAACAGGACAAAAGGTTGTTTTTTGATATAAGTTGCTTTAATGTTACTGCAGCTTTAATGTAAGTAAAGTTGTAAAGAGAAACAAATAGAAACAAAATATATAAAAAACACATTCCAAGCAAAAGCCAGACTAAAAATGTAGGTTTTTACCCTTTCAGCTACTGTTACATACAACTGAAACAATTAGTCGATGAATTATTAGGTTGGTTGAAAGAAAATAATCTGCAAGAATTGTTTAAGTCTGTTTTATTGTGGTTAACTGAATACGTTTGAGCTTTTGACTTACTGGTTACGCTGGGTAGTTGTGATGGACATTTTTCACTATTTAGTTTTTTCATTTTATAAAACAAATAACGATTCGATAAAGGATAAAGCAAGTGTTCAGGTTTATCCGAGATGGGTTCATGTTGATGTTCACAGGTCACTGCAACAACCAAAAATATCTAAACTAGGCGGAGTCAGCGGGGTTTAAAAAATCATTCATGTATTCACGTAAAGTACGAAAGAAAGAAGAGGAAGCGTGACAGATTCAAGCGTGGAAATGTGTGTATTATGTCTGGGGCCCCTTAGAACTCTTTGATGTCATTTTCTGTGTGTGTGTGTGTGTGTGTAAGTGCACATTTCGGTCAAAGTTGAGTGTGTTTGTTGAATATGTGGTTGCTCATTTGTATGGCAGTGAATGGAGATTTTTGTTTGTCAAGTGACGCTGTGAGGCCCCCGAGCTGAGTGGGGTCCTGGGCGACCGACACAGAAATGTATAAAGAGAGAGAGAGAGAAAAAAAGTGGGACAGGGAGCGCACCAGCATGAAGGCAAGAGAGAGGGTAAGGGAGGGTGAGAAAAGAGTGATATCTGAGGACAAAGGGTGGTCGAAACTGGAAAGGATTATAAAATTGAAATCTTACGTGCAAAAGAATGAACAAGAAAAATAAAAAGACCTGAAAAAGAGAATAAGACAGTGAGACAGATGAGGAGTGCAGTGTAACAGTAACAGTATTTTCTCCATCTGGCTTGCAGCCCTGAAAGGCCTCAGGGTCTATTTTCCTGCCACATTTGTCAGCCTTCAGATGAGTGCCCCTGCAACATGAGCATTCGCAATAATACTGCTGATAGTTGCTGCACAGCAGTGTATATCTGTGGAAGTAAAGCAGCTTTGATATCTCAGCAGCATCTGGCTCCATCGAGCTCTCTTATTGTATAGATTGGTTTGACAATAATGTGTAAATTCATTGATTTTGATTGGTCTGATCACATAGATTGGTTTTCACATGAGAGTTACTGTGGCACAGTGATATACATAATAAATACTTCTAGTTGCAGTAGCACAAAAGCTCTCACTCAAATGTTCCTTTAACCCATTTAAGGTAGGAGCCCTTGTAAAAAAAATCACTTAAAGATCCCTGTAAGACATGTATCCAGACATATATACAATGGTCCGCTTTGACACATATTTCTTGCATGCATAGGCCATATAACATATAGAACATGACATATCACCATATTTGGTGTAATAACAATGCTTTAGTTGATTTCCTTATTTGCTCACCTTATTCAAATAACTTGAAACAATGTCAATAAAACACAGAGTTTCAGGTCCAGTGTGTAGGATTGATTGGCATCTTGCGGTGTAGTTGCAGATTGCAACTCTGTTGCTTCACCTTCCCCTTACAAACATGAAGAAGAAACTACAGGGGCTGCAAAATGCGTAAAAATGCATTTGGTTTGTCAATTCTGGCCTACTGTAGTAACATGACTCCACAGAAGGCGACATTCCGCTTCTGTAGATGTAAACGGCTCATTCTAAGGTAACATTAATATAACAATTCCTATTTACAGGTGATCATACACAAATAAAAAAACATACTTTATATTCAGTTTCTGACAATAGATCATCCTGAATGTCACCACCAAACTTCTTCAAAAATCTTTTAATGAAGATCAATAAGTTAGACAGTTCGCGTTAGAATAGTTTGCAAGAGCGTAAATATAAGCACGATGAGGCTGTACAGGCGGAGCTGTAGTTAGAATTCACAGGTGGGGTATTTACTGACATATTGTATGTCGTAGAACAAAATCTGAAAATCTCTTAAGCTTGTGTTAACCAGACTTTATTTCAGGCATCTGACCCAAAGCCCATCAAAAGAGACCCACTGACTTTGAGAAGAGGGAACAGGAGGCGCAAAAATGCTAACTCAGTTTTGTGTTTTAGGACTCACTCCTACAGCACTCTACTGTCCGACAAACAGGGCTTTTCGGGGTAGTAATTGACACTAATGAAAAGAATAAATAAAAGCTTTATCTTTGAATATTACTTTATGACTTCAACCCTTGCCCTATCCACTGTGCATCCGTGGAGGCTTCATAAAGGACTGAAACCAGTTAATGTGAAGTAGAAACAGACTATAAAACCCTCCGACAGCATGTCTGCACCACTGCTGACTTTATAATGCTCCACTTAAATGAAACATGTGTCAGAGAATGAAGGAAATATCATACAAATGTTCCTGTTAAGCTCCGTCTGGCATTTGTGCAGATAATCTTATATTATCCTTTTATGTTTTTTAATGTTGGATTTACACAAAATGTGCTTTCAGCACCGTTTTATTACATTACAGGACCTGATTTCTGATTAGGGTTACTGTTTTGTGGACTCGAGATGAAGATTTGCAAGAACGATGTGTGTGTCAATAGATTGGACACTAATCTATTGAGCAGTTATGTTAATTTAATTTAAAATGTTACAAAATCCATAACCTTTTACTACTTCTGTGGCACTCGCTTATTATATTATGGGGATATTATTCATTAACAGGGAAAATGCACA